ACTCCAGTGAAACCAACTATTGCAGACGGTCAGTGCTCAGCTCAATGCCAGGAGCACGCTGTGCAATGAGAGCAGGTGAAAAGACATCCTCAGCTACAGATAATAGCTGCATCCAAAACAAAGCTTTAGCACTAAGTAAGGCTTTAACATAAGCCCAGATACTGTCCAGCAACTGCTGCTTCAGCTTGATGGGCCACGAGGTGGCAGCGAAGGCTCAGGCAACTATTTCATCCCCAACAGCAGTGCCTATTACAATAACCTTAAGAAGGTTTTGTTGTTACTCAGTAGGATGTGGTTTAAAGCTTCTCAATGTACTGTAAAATTACTCTGCTTTTTTTCCAAGTCATTCCCTCAAAATGCAGCATTTCAATTTCATTGCACCATTCCTGGGAATCCACCTACCATTCCCACTACCAAATCCTGATGCTACAAAAAAAAAACCAGACATTCCTGTTGAGCAGTGAACTTTATTACAGAAAGTGTTACTACTATAAAAACATAAACGGGGAGAAAGAGGCACATCAGCAGCTTTGGGCATTAAGTGGAAGTGGCAGCAGGACTTTCATCCCAGTACCACCCTTTCCCAATTGTAAGGATTGTGAAGAGTTTCATTTATTCCCCTGTGAGAAGGTGGGGAAACGTGTCAAAAAGGGGGTATATCATCAAAGGAGAATTATTCAGTGGCCAAGGAGAATAATTCAACAGTTCCAAAATCTGATCTATTGGCACACTGCAGCAGCCCTGTTTGTTTAGAGAAGTTACAACATCAAAGTAGAGCTGTGTTTTTCAAGGTAAGGGAGAACAGCTCTTGTGTCTTACCCACACATTCAATCTGAACATCCTCCACTCCTGATAATCTAACAGGTATTCCCTTAAAACGACCAAACCCCCAAGAAGCAGAAGTTGAGCTGTACACACCCTCATTTCTCTTTTGGCCATTAACTCTATCAGCTATTCCAGCTGGACACACTCTGCTGCTCAGGCTGCAGTTACTGTCACCAGGCTATGACAAAAGCACATGCCGACAATGGAAAAAAGCAGCCCGGCCCTCACATCTCAGCCTCTCCCTTTTGTCAGCACCAGCATTTACGCAGCCAAGCATGAGGCCAGCTCAGGGAACTGGACTTGATGGGGGAAGGAGGGAAAAAAAAAAGGACAGCTAACTTCCAGCAGGAGCTGAAATGGAAGGAGAAACTCCTCCAGCCCACTGCAAAGTCACACGAGCTCTCGTGCCAGCAGCACAAATGAGAGCAAGACTGTTCCTTTCAACAGCAGCCTGCAAAGATGTCAACTTTGAACGTGGAGCTGCAGCCTCAGAGCATGTTGCACAATATGTTGGCTGCAGCAGCAAAGCTGATTTAAGAGTTTCCGGGCCCCGGTCCACCTCCAGCTGCTCATTCGCTTTAGTGATGTGGCTTTACCACACAGATCCTCCACCAGCTGTACAGTGCAGTCACTGGAGCAGCAAACTGCAGCGCTGGGAGCAAAAAGAACCCCCCAGGGTGGGAAAGGAACTCAGTCTTCTCTGCTGATGCCAATGCATTATGCAGTTGTATCCTTAAGCTTCCACGGAAACCTAAGCTAATCTGACTGGCAGCTGCCACGTTCCCTCTCCATCACACCGAGTATTCCTACCCTCCTTCTGGGCCAGCACTCAAATGCTTCTTGTCAAGCATCCAACATACACAAGGTTCTGGTACAAGAGAGGACACAGAAGCATAAAAGCTTGGTGGGGGCAGGACAGGTCTGCAGCAGCCACTGTGGATCCACAACCCCAGTTTGTGGTTTCACAGAACAGTCTAAACACTGCTATCAGCTTACAGCTGCCTGGCAGGTCCCAAGGGGATGGATGACACCTAAGAAATAATGAAGTACAAGACACTTGGGGCTTGGCAGAGCTCAGCAGAGCACAAGCTCACAGCGAGGGCCATGGATCTGGTACCGAAACAATGGGCTTGCTACCACTGACACACTCCAGGTATAAGGGTCAAAGTGGAGAGGAGCTGCTGACTCTCTTTAAGGCACAAACCACAGTTTAATCAAGCTGGAAAAAACCTCTTTGCAGAGTAACTTCAATTAACACTTCCCCAATAAACTCTTCTACTGGAACTCTTTGCCAAAAACTCCTTTCTGAAATAAACACATTGATTCTTACTGTATCGTGGTGCTGAGTATGAATTGTCCCTAAAATATTTATTCTACTTAAAGAAATCTTTCTAAAAGTGGTCAGGAGCAAGCAGTTCAAAAATTCCTGTGCCATTATCCTGTGAATCCTATTAGAAGATAGATGGCTGTGTCACAAATACAAAACATACAAGCAAAAAGTAGTGAGAGTTTAGATTTAAGCTGTGTCTTTCCCCTCCTACTTTTTTCTTTTTTGCCTTCTTTTGGAAAATGATTTTTAGAAGACAGAGGATGAGGAATGTTCTTAGCTGGAACAAGGGAAAAATATTTAGACAGCTTTTAAAAATAGTAGCACAATAACATAATTCGGTTTAGGTTTTACAACACAACTTAAGTTTAATGGCATGTGGTTGGATTCAGAGCTTTAGCCAATAACACATGTCTTACAGGCCATGTCAGGAATAGGGGGTTTATTTATATTTTCATATTGTTTTGTTTTTCAGAAAACAAAACTGAAATTATTTCCTCTTCCGAATTAAGATCACGTTCAAAACCATTATGTTATCATGAGCAGGCAGAAGTGTATCTATGCCTACTCTACCTCTATAAACACCACTGCAAGGGATGAACGAGAGGCCATAACCTTAAGCTCTAACTTTTAGATAACTGCCTGCAGATAAAGCTCAACAGAGCTGCATATCTGAAACAAGAGGCAAAGCAGGTAGTAGTAATGATTAACACTGAGGAGGTTTTCGAAGAGGAGTTTTGAGGTACAACCCAGCCTCAGCATTTGCCAGTCAGGTTCTCTACCTCATCTGAGGGAGTATTTCTGAACAGCTTTCTCATGCAGGGATTGAAGCAGTGTGCTTGAAAACTCTGGTAAAGGACAAATCCCTACTCACCTCTGACTTGAAAGAAGTTTCATCCTCTGAATTTGACTCCTCCATTTCCACAGGCTTTTTGATCTCCTTGGCCTCACTTTCAGATTTTACCTTTTCCACTTTGGCATTCATCTTCTCCTTGGTTTGTTTCTTCTCTGGATATGAGGAAGACGAGGTTCTGGGAGATGTCCCTAAGATATTCTTTACCCCTTTGGAGCTACTCTTTTTCTGTTTTTTGGCACTAGGCTTTGGTGACTCCACATTGGAGGGCCTCTTGCTGGAAGACTTTAATTCCGGCTGTGGCCCACCCTTTGGAGAAGTGTTCTCCAGTTTGGTCTCCTTCACGGCCAGTTTTGGTTCCTTGAAAGCAGCTTTTGGAGGTGCCTTCTCCTCCTTAGGCAGTTTGTTTTCAGTTGGTTTTCTGGAGGAGTCCTTCAAAGGCTTGTTTTGTTCTCTTTCAAGGTCTTTGGAGGAGTTTTTGCTTTCAGAGTCTTTTCTTGGCCTCTCTCTGTGCTCCTTGGTTACTTTGTGTGGCTTGGATGCCTTGCTACTTTCCTTGTTTGCGTCCTAAAATTCAGCAACAGAAACATGCAAGCCAGGTATGAAACTGAAGCTCTGCACACATCATAAAACACATTCTCATAAATCACATAGAAGCATTTGTTTCACACAGACATTCACCCACAGGTGCCCAAGGTACTTATCTACCTCCGAGCTAAACATGTAGAGATGTTTAAAGCTCAGATTGACAGCAGGCACTTAAACATCTACCCTAGGACAGGATGAAACATGCTTCACAAAAGCCTGTTCCTTCCTCTGGTCTATAAAAGGAGGTCTATAAACATCTACAGATGTTTAGTTCAGATTCAATCTGGAGGGTTAACATCTGAACCCAGATAAGAGGAAGCTCGCTCTAGCTGTGTTACCCAAAAGTTGTATTTCACATCACATTTTAGAGAAAAAAAAAATCAGCAACTAAACAGATATTTTAAGGTTAAATCCCATCCATGGCAAATGCAAGTTATGTTCATAGCCCCCAACTCAGTGCATCAACCTCTCTGCAACTGACAAAAATACTTAATGTCCTCACAACCACCAGAGGAGCAAAGGCTCTGATATCAGCATTTTATCACCTTTAATAAGAGCTTAAGACACCAATAGGCAGGACCCTGCCCATCCTAAGAGTTGGGTACTCACAAAGGAACAGCAGTGCTTCCCTTTGTGAATTGTATGTGAACTCAACACACTTATAGAAGCGGGTCTTGTGGGGAGACACTGGTGTATGAACCGGACATGCTGAGATGCAAACACAACTACCCCTCTGGGGGCAACCTGGAGGAAGAGAACCAGGAGCCTGTTGCCTCTTTAGCTACTGGCAATTTTCACCACAACTTGTGGCACAGCCCCTGATTTCTCTTGTCTTCTGTGTTTTCTAATGCTTCATTCCCAACCAAAATTAAATTGGCCACTAACAGGTAAGTCATCTTTATTCCTTTTCATAACATCAACACCAGAAAGCATGACTGTAGTGCCAGAAGTGTTTAAAGCCCTGAAGAAAATGCCTATCAGAATTGAATTACACTATAAAATGAATTGCCATTAATATCTGACTGTTCAGGCAGATAAAGTGCATATAATCCACATCAAAACACTGCTGGGGGATTGCTTTTCCTATGTAGAATTATATAAAAATAGCTTCATCGTAAGTGGAAAAAGAAAACTTAAGGTTCTTCTGAAGTCTCAAGAACCGGATGCAAACATCAAGTCTTCAAATCACTAGTGTGACCAAGTACAGCCTGGTTTATGTTCTTTACACCACTACCCTAAGCTATCCTAAGGATAGAGGAAGTGTCAAGTGTCTACTCAGCCCTCCTGCTAGGAGATGCAAGGATTTAAGAGTACAGCTTTGCCTCACAAGACAGTGAAAGATCACATAATTCACCCTCAGCATCAAGGCTACCAGTCAAAACAACCAGAGAGGACATCATTCAACTTCATCTGCTAGAGCAGATCAGGAGGAAGATACGGTTCAAAAATTCCCATTCTTGGACATTTCATTTTCTTCAAGTTTTCCCTGTAGAGAAGTCCAGCAAATCATACAAAGGCCTCCTAACTGAGGCTAAGTTGCAGACCATTAGCTAGTGACCTACAGAGTACAAGGAAAGTTCCAGAATTAGAAGTAGCCAGAAACAGCTGCTAAACAAGCTCTTAGTAGCCAGTCCTGAAAGACTTCTTCACGTCAGGAGGACATAAAACCACACTTCACTTGCCTTAGATCCATGGGACGGTTTGGTCTTCTTGGGATCAGAGAAGGCAGAGAGTGGTATCGTGGGTAACATCGGATAATCGGGACTTGGCCTTGAAACAGTTTCTGCTCCTTCTGGCATCACCATTACCTAGTAATAGAGAGAAGAAAAATGATGTATGAGTGAAGTTGCACGGACCATTAACATGGGATGATGTTAAGTCACTCAATTAACACACTATTATTCATCTTTTGAATGTTTTTTGCACTGCTTAAAGGCCATAAAAAGATACTGTCTAGGTAATGCTTGGTTTCAAGGCAACTCCTCAAATACAAAACATTAAAATCAAAGAAAAAAAGAAAGGCAACCTGCAATATCAAGTATCTTCTCCAAAGGGAATGCCAATATTCTGAGCACAAGCAAGCAAGAAAGCTCTGGGCAAGAACTGTGTGTTCTGCTGTAAATGCTCTTATCCTGCAAAAGGGTAGCAAGATGAATCTGGAAGGAATGAGCAAGACTTCACTCATTCAGAAATAAGAAGCAGGCCTTGGGATCTCCCCCTTGACAAGATCTGAGCACCAACAACCCAGCTCATGGAACTTCCCTTCTTACCTCCCCTATACACTGTCAGAATAATCCTGTCAAAAATTCCCACTAGATGAATGGCAGCCAAAGTGACTCACAGATGAAACACCTCAGTATGTAAAGAATGTAATAACATACTATGAAAACCCTAGAAAGCAAGTGATGTTTTAGCCATCCTATGGCTAAAATAAGCACCTTCCTCTTTGTGCCCAGTACAGAAAAGCACTGGCACACTGAGGAAGAGCTGGGCAGATCAGCTTGGAATACTTGCCACTCCTGATTACTATCAACAAACATTTGCAGGCCTGAAACATGTTGGTTTTGTTGTTGTTGTGGGGTTTTTTTCCCCCAGAAGAAAATTTGCTAGAATTAAAACTACATTTATTAAAGTCCTTGAACAAAACCTAACCCATTCTATGATTCTGTGATACATGAGGGTGCCTCAGAATACAGTCACGTCATCCTCTGTCTGCTTAAAAACTTCACACGCTTTGTGGTTTGTACTAATTTGCATAGGTCTTGCAGTTATTTAAGTATCATCTCTTTAGTCTATCACTGCATATTACTTTCCTGGAAGCAGAGTTCATCCACTGTAGCAACCTGTATCCTATCATGCATTCAAGAGTATAGCTGTATTTTTTCCTTCCACACCTGTTTTCAATCTATATTCAAACAATATTCCTTAAATCTTTATTCTGTAAGCCACAAGCAGCCAACCTCAGGTTTAGAGGGTATTTACTGACCAGCAAGCATTAAGTATTAAACTTTCCTGTGGTAAAAAACTCAAGTGAGGAATAGACTGAAAGCCTCTGCCTTTACTTGAGCTTTTCTATACTGATACAATTCAGGAAGGTCATAGATAACAGTGTAACTGTCTGATGGACAGTATGCAATATTCACAGATCTCCATTTCCAGAAGAGGTTTTAGTGCTTTGATATTAATGGACACATTTAAATAGAAGCATGAAGCACCACCAATTACACCAGCAATGGTTTAGTTCTGCTTCAAGTGCTGCAGTCATATAACCAAGAGTAAAACTATAGCTTGCTGGGCTGCAGCTACAGAGAAAGTCCAGAGCAAAACAAGATCACTACATGTTTTCATAGAATCATGGAATGGTTTGGGTTGAAGGGACCTTAAGGCTCATCTAGTCCCAATCCCCTGCCACGGGCAGGGACACCTTCCACTAGAGCAGGTTGCTCCAAGCCCCTGTGTCCAACCTGGCCTTGAACACTGCCAGGGATGGGGCAGCCACAGCTTCTCTGGGCACCCTGTGCCAGCGCCTCAGCACCCTCACAGGGAAGAACTTCTGCCTCAGAGATCATCTCTATCTCCCCCTTTTCAGTTTAGCCGAACCTCTTCAGATCTCCAGTCCCTTTGGCACTTACCCCTCCAGCCCTAATGAGTTTGCGTCTGAATTCCTTGGTGGGGTTGTTGAAAGTCAGCTTCTCACAGCGAAGGTGGTTCACAGGTGGATTTCCCTCCAAATTTAAGAACAGGTCGTATGTGAAACAAACCTTTTTCGGCTCCTCCTAAAAACAAGACAGACTTTGGGAAAAGGGAAGAAGTTTGGCAAGCACCCTAAGTCAGAGGACCCAAACAGTCGCTCCTGAAAATCCCCAATAAGACACTAACTGTTGCACTCAAGAGTTTTTCACCATGAGATTAGAGGGTTAGAAATTAAACTATTTGTTCCTGAAGTTAACATATTGTTCATCAGAAACTCAGACGTGGCTTTTCACTGCAAAAGCAACACATGGACAAGGATACTGACAACAACTGTCTGTTTAAAACCATCCCAAACTTCTGAAGAAAGCAGATTCACAGGCCATATCCACTCTTTGATTCTCACTAAAATCCGGGTCCCGTCTCCCTTGGGAAGGAACTGAACTATAAGTATAAATATTTAAGAAAAGCATAATCCTTTATTTAGAGAAGGAACAACTTCTGAACTCACAGGAACTCTGCGAGTACCGAAGAAAGATTAAAAGCAACAGTAAAAGGATGACTTGTTTTGTAAAATCCTTTCAATATGCATATTGCAGGGGCTGAATGGGAAGATATCCCGGGCTTTTGAACTTTCCAAGGGCACTTTCACTGGAGTTTGTATGCATGTTGGGGATCATCTGCGCCTCACTGATTCTGCTCCACCTGCCACAGCAACACTCTGCATTTGCAGTAGAAAATGGAAGAAAGCTTTTCCCTTTTTCCCCTCCCGAAATTGCAAATATTGTGTATTACAAATATTGAGATGATATTTCCTGGGATTATCTTGTATTCTGCATTTCAAGATGAAAACTCAGTATGTGGCAAAAGAGACTCTCCTGCGAACCACGCAGAGCCTTACAGTACACTCAGTATTTACATGAATGCATCCCACATGCCTCATTCAATGCGCAACATCAAGCAGCTGCACAGCAGTCTTTTCCAGAATTCATATCCAGCAGCTTGATTTCCTGGTGTAGCTGCATTGTTGTGTGGGAACAGGCCCTGCAGGCTCCCAGCCCAGGCCATTAGATTTGCTGAAAATAGGTTGAAGCGTCAAACGGCTTCAGACCACACCGATTCCGGCTGGTTGCTTGGTGGATACTAACGGCCCTAAAGAAGCCATTTCTTGTACAAACTATACCTCTAACAACAAACAGTGTGGTAACCACACCTGGTTTACATCAAAATCAATACCCTGAGCTCACCTGGGGGTCCAGGTTCTGGCTCCTTACTCCCCAAACACAGGCACGTACACACCAAGAGTCTCACATTAACCAGCAAGAACATGCTACCAACACGAGGGTCTTCAGACCCTCTTGGAAAAGTCCTGAAGAATTCCCACATACTTCAAGGAGTTCAATGTCTACTGAGATGATAGGAAGAAAAAGGGAAATACTTGCCAAATCCACTGCCTGATCGTTTTCCCTTCTCTATGACCGTTCTCATTAACTGAATCATTAGTGAGCTCTGCATGTGCGCTCTTATGCTGGAGTTCAAACAGCAGCTGCAGAGGGTCCCTCACAGTCTAATAAGCTTAAATGAAGGATGAACAGGAATCCAAATGTGGCCTAAGAACTGTTTCTAAAATGCTTTTCCTAATTTGCAACAGAGTAAATTGATTTTGGATATATTAGCAAAAGCAGGCTTTAGTCAGAAGCTGTTATGCCATCACATTATCAGAGCTCTGCTTCAGCATTTCCCTGTTTGCTTGCAGAGCAGGAGAGGGGCAGCAGATTCCTCTTTTATCTTAAGGATGCCTTCTTTTTCTTAAATAGAGATTCAAAAGCAGAGAACCTCCCAAATATTTATTGTACCTCTGTTGAAGAGTTTCCACTTTTTGTGAAATTAAGACAATTTTTCAATGTGATTTTTCTCCAACTTAGAGATCACAACCGCCCTGGGAACCAGGCCCAGGCCAAGTACCATGATCATTAAAATACCCTTTGTATCGCCTCAGGCCATCAGAAGCACACACCACACCCCCCCCCCCCAATTAAGATTACAGCACTCCTAAAAGAACCAGTACAAAAGTCTCAAAGCAAAAAGCTGCAAATAAACATTCTTTCCTTTACTGCCTTCACTGCCCAGCTAATGATTACAGCTCAAGACACTCCAAAGCTTAATCCATCCGGTCCTCACTAAAAGGTTCTTCCCTCCAAACAACCATCAAGGAGGGGGGAAGAAAAGGGGAAGAAAGGAGGAAAAGAAAAAAAAAAGAGAAACCCAAAGAAAATCTCTCTCCATTGACCTGGTCCTATACATCCTTTAACTTGCAATGGAAAGTCACACTGAATCCACAGCACCGTACTTCAAAGCTTTTCCAAATAACATGTTGGGATCTGCACATCCTGCTGCTTGGAGGTGCAACAGGCAGCGTGTTTTCATACTGCAACAGCACTTTACATACTCCTGCTTGAATAGCAATTATATGGACAAGTCAAGCTTTAGTCTTAGATGATTCCACCTTCTGATACTAAACCCTTAGGTCAACAAGCAAAACTGAACAGGTAAGAGACCTCCTGTCTGTGGATTGAGGCCATGAGCTTTTCTGAAAGGCCTCACTTCCAAGAAAGGCTGTAGAAGGGATGGATCACACCCATTCTAACTGATAGATATTATAGTTACTTAGTTTAAAATTCAGTAGTGACTCTGGACATAAAATGGTTAACCTGATACAGGACCTCTTAACAAGCCACCTTAAAAGCTCAGTTTGAATCTGCCCCTTAAAATTCCCAGTGCCAGAGAAGTAAACTACAAGTGTGGACCACAAAGCTGGGGCCACGCTTTGATTTGCAGCCGCTGTAAACTCCCCTCCATCCAGTGACCCACCCTCCACCTCCCATCCCCAAAGCTGAGCACATTAAGCTTTATTTTTACTGTTCTCCAGCTTCCTGTCTGCAGTGACAGCCACTGCACTGGTAAGAACGCTGAAGCTGCTTTCTTTTTGTTCTGAAGTAATGGGTTAAAGTTCTTTTGGCACTTTCAGAAGAGCAGGAATTTTTCTAAGTCTTTTGTTAAAATTTCCTTGTCCTGTTTTTAAGGCAGGGTGTGCCCTTTGCCACTTGACACAAATCAAAAGCATTTCACTGGTAGCGTGTGCATAAAGCTCATAAATCACTTTTAGAAAGCCATAAACCAAAATTATCTACAAAAATCTAGCACACCAAGGAAGCAGACTCATGGTTATTCAATAACTATAACATCCAGCACTACTTCCCTTTTGCCATAGATCCAGCCTGACAGAGTTATTTATCCGCCTGTAGAAATGAAACCCCCTTTCCAGGCCCGTACAACCCGTTTGACTGGTCCACCACCCGCTTCCAGACAGGACAGTTAAAAGTGAAGAGCCCAATAGTCATTTTCTGAAGCAAGCAGCCTTATGTTGCACTCTAACAAGTCCATGAAACACCCTTATCTTTTTCTGAGATCCTGCAGGGTTATGCACAACAGAGAACAGCATTTTGGAATGCTCCCCCCATCTGAAGCTCACGACTCTGGTTGAAAATTAGGCAAATATACTCACTGCTCAAAGACAAGCATTTAGTAATCCACTAGCTCTCACAAAAACATGCTATGATGCTGGCATGGCCAGCTGTGAAGATGCTATGTTTGACAACAATTCCTCACCAGGCACAGGGGTCTATTCAGCAGATGCAGATGTGCCACGCTGAGAAGAGTGCTCAGATAGAAAAATGGATAAACTGATAATGTGCGTAAGTTTAGGACATAAAAAGGTAAAAAAAGAGATTCCCTACTCATCAGCAGCACAAAGAAAGTGCTGCAGGTTTAGTACAACAATATGGACCTAAAAAATGTGAGCTTCCACTGACAAAGTGACAGTTTACTACTTCCATGTATTTCTCAATAAATACTAACAGGTTAAAGTTACTCCCCCTTTCCTCCAACCTGTGCAGACCCCTCCCCTGATAACACAGCAACTGGTTAGGTAAAATCAACTGTCTCATGCAAAAAGAGGCTCTTTAATCACCTACCTTAGAGTATTTCATAGCCAACACCTTCCCAAGGGCACAGGTTGGTTCTAAATGACACCCAGTGTCACCCACCCTGTCCAATGTACAACCCGCCTACAGTGTCTCCATCAAGTTCCTACTTCAAAACACAGATAATTTTTCCCTTCTCCCATATTTTTCTATGTATTTTCTCTATCACACCTACAAATGCTGCAGAAGGAGTAAGACATGCATGTTATTATTTTGAACCTATCTGGAAAAAGCAAACAGATTTCTCTGCTTTCTTTGCCTATCTCCCATTTCACTAATAGGAAAAGCCCACATTCCAGGTATCCATTATGTAAATACTAGAAGCCTTTTATCTCCAGCACTGGAACTGGGAGGTAGTATCTTTAGAGAGACTTAAATACAATCAATATCATCTGCCTTGTATCAGAACAGCGTTAAAATAACCTAGACCTTTTAGTTTCTGTTGGGAGGGGGGACTGATCTAATCTGATTAGGATGCCAAAAAATGTAACAGGGGATGAATATCAAAGTCATACATGTATTGCAGCCTCCAGATTACAACACATGCCACAACAAGAGATGTGTTTGGAGACAACAATGAGGCCATGAAAAAAGCCTCCAGACTGTTGAAATTGAGTGGGGGAGAGGAAAAAGGAAGAGCAGCAGAGAAACAGCAATACATTTATTGTACCCAGTTTGTATTGATTCAAGCACCAGAAGCCACTAACAGCAGCCCTCATTACAGGAACACAAAGGATTTAAACACCAAAATAGCATACTAACATTTTCATTCCAACAATCCCAAATGATCTGCTGTCATTAGTCAGCTGTGGTTTATCATCCAACCTGCTGAGACTCAGCCATTTCTTCTTCTAGCAGGCTAGGTTCTAGCAGGCCACCAAAATCAAATGGGCCCTTGCAGGCCACAGTTACTCTCTGGAGAGCTCAGATATACAAACTGCCCAGGTTCACAGCAGTATTCAAAATACATGTTCTGTAATTCAAATGACAGGACTGAGAAAACACCTACTTATTGAGGAACTGAATTACAGCACAGGAAGGACAAGCATATGCCCACAAGGCACAACTGTGTTTGTAAAGGATAAGAACGGGCTCTTGCACCTCCTCTAATACTCTGCTGATGCTTCCCTGTGGGACAGAAAGGCAGCAAAAGCTTCAGTTGGGCCAGGAGACTCCTACTCCCAACAGGCAACAAGAGAGTACTCCAACACAAAGAGTTAATGGGCAGTGTTATGCAAAGTTGCCCGAAGTTCATTAAAACCATTCTTAAGGCACTCTTAGTAAAATTGTTCCTTTGCAGTGAACAGGCCCATGTTTCTTTAGGCAAAGCAAAGCGTACACTGGCTCTGACAACCACTATTTATCATCCTAGTAACAAATTAGAACAGGGAAAGGAAACAGCTAAGAAAGAAGGATTAAACTGTGGAAAAAAAGCTTCCAGCCAACCATGGCAAAGATCAGCCTCCACAGATGAGTTCACTCCCTCTTTAAATCCTTTCTCTTCTCACCTTTACACAGCTAAAATGCTTTGATAAACAAAGCCCAAAGCCTTTAGGACTCGTTTCAAGCGAGAGGACGCACATCAACAAAAACGTGCTAGAATGTGGGGAGCATATGGCCAGAAAGACCCCCCAGCTCCTCCTGCCCAGCCACCCACCACACAGCATGTTCTCCCCGACCCCACAACAGCTACTTGAAAAGAGTTACTCCGGGATGAGTCCCAAATGCTGTAATCGATTCAGGCAAATTCAGAACAATATATGCTCCATGCACAACAGCTGATCCTCACCAGTGTCAACAGGTTTACAAAGATCAGAGTGAACATATGGTCTCAAAGTAGTGAAGACTTCTATTTATCTGGTGCTTTAATGTCACTTTCTTTAATGCAAGAGAAAACAGGCTGTATTTGAAGCCTTTGCCACCCCTCTTCCTCCTCCTTCTGATTCTTTTTCATACCTACAATATCGCAGCCTTTGCTTATCTTTTGTCTTTGTGTTTCTATCTTTGCAGAAGTATTTACCTCTCACATTTCCTTCAACTGCACTTACTGAAAAGAATTATGGCTCTTAATATTTCAAGATGGCATTAGCACCAGGCAATCATGGTCAGAGGAGCCAAATTCTTCACATCCTCAGGCAGCTTCTAAGCTTCCAGCAATCCTAAGTATCACACTTGGCTTCCAAATGTGCAGAGAACACAACATTTGCTGACATAAGGCTGGAAAAAATACTTTTTTAAGCAGTAAAAGCAAATTTCAAGCAACTTCAGCACAGTTCATATATTTCAAATTCACGGTTGAACCTGGGAACGTGTCTGTTCAAATGACCTGCTGGAAGACAGACGCTATCATGTTTTCCCTCAGCTATCTCTTGCCTCAAGTTAATCATGGGAAGAGCTCTCAAACTCCTGAATTAGTCAATTTGTCCATCAGCTTAGAAGCAGGAAAGAACTCCATAATGCAGGCATGTCAAAAGGAGAGTAAAGAGAGTGTTTTGAAGATCTGTAGCTTTTAAAACAAGTCTGCAGCTAAACCTGCTGCATTCTATTCATTTTTCATGTTTCTGAAGACCAGAATGCCAAAATCAAACCATCTTCTCCCAAATGAACAGCTACTCTCATTGTTCCCACTAAGAAGAGAGACCACCTATTTCCCTTACTTATAAAAGCCATCCTATCCCTAAGGCTAGAAAGAGCAACTACACAGTCACGTGTGTACGGGAACAATGAGAAGCAATGACCCCGGTGGGTGTGAAACCAAGCGAGATTCAGAAAAGCTGCTGGTTCCATATTCTGTGAGGAGCACACAAATACAAGGGACTGAGAGAAAGAAAACATGAAGGCAGGTGATGGTCAGTGCAAACAAGTACACCTATAACAAAATACAAGAGAGGCAGAAATGAGGGAGGAAGATTTGAGGACCTGTGAAAGACAAAGGCATTGGATTCCTGCAGAGAAAAGGCAAGTGTGAGAGAAGATTGAGTGAAGGAAGGGAAAATAAAAAGCAAGAGTAGAAATAAAACATAGTTCAGCCACCACAGCCATCAGAGGTTCCCCTTAAAAGAAATCAGGGTAGAGAAGACCACGGGTTTTGGTCAGGAATGATAAGTAGATTTTGTACCTGAATTAAGCTAACATACAGTGCAGATGAAGGCTTTCCTGATTTCCACACAAAACCTCAGAAAAGCCACCAGAAGTTAAACTACTTTTAAGCCTTTTAAGTTTTTTGGGCATTTTTTTTTGCACTCAAGTCATAGTTTTCAGTGTTTGCCAAAAAGCTGCTTCTACCAACAACTTCCATCCCCTACCCTCTGTCTTCACCTCCTTTTGGCATATCTCACCCCCCCCAAAGCAAGCTGAGGGCAAAGCGTTCCCAGGTTTAGAAGACTAGTCTTCTTGTGGTTCAGTCTCATTATCTGGTTTATTACTCAGACTTATAAAGTGGGGGTAGAGAAATGTGGTAGGCCAAAAACCAAACTAAAATGTGAATAATTCACAAAACACCATGGGCAGGAGAATATTCTGTTAGGCCGAGGCGAGACTGAAACGATAGATGTGTTCGTGGAAAAGATTCCAGGAAGTTAAATAGAATTATGCTGTTCTATGTGGTCTGCTGTCAACAAAACCAGGGGAATGGCCCGTGCTTGGAGGTTTGAGGGGCAGGGAGTGAGGTCATACAGCGTGGTGATGTGGCTTAATGGGCAAATTCTTCATTTATCTCAGTTCCTCTTAGGGATAAGAAGCAGAATATTTAATCAAAACCAGAAAGATTTAGTATTCATGTTTAAGAAAACAAATTAACCCAAACTGAGTTAACACGAACACAAGTACCCAAATCCATATTTTCATAACCTTCAAACCATGTAGTGTGTGACCTCTGTGGCAAGACTCAAAGCAAGCAATAAATCCCAAATTTTAACTTGCATATATTTGTTGGCAATGCAACTTCTAGTGTTTTCTTTTTGGAAGAGTACTGAATCAGAACAACAATATTTTTTAACACAGATGTAAATACTTGTCCTAGAGATGCAAATGCTTATCTTGGGCCTACACAACTTTTATATCTGTACAGTTAATTTAATAAGACTGCAAATAAAAAAACCCTTATTTTTAATATATTGGCAGCCATCAGGATTTACAAACGTTTCTAAAATCTGTGGTTTATGTTTATTTGCATAAAATATTTTCAACTGCTTTAGCATTATCCATGCTAGAGAAGCTTCTTGCACGTGGTACAATGTGTTCAGGATCTCTAGGACCACCACACTGTCCTGATATTACCTTTCTATACAATTCCATTTCTGCCAAAAGCTTTCTTTTGAAGTCTAGCAGGAGCTTCCAACTCCCAGTTAAATTCTATTTATTAGACTAATAAAAAAACACACACATAAAACAGTCACATAATTTAGAGTCTTTCTGTCAGGCAGTTTCAGGCTCTGGCACAGCTCAAAACAATTAGAAGACCAGAAATCAGATTCTACCTTATTTTTGAAGTACACTTCAATGGGCATAATGAAGCCTGCGTAGCCAGACTCCTCCACTTTGTAAGGGGGCTCCTTGCACACTGAAAAGAGAACATACAAATGTTAACTTCGAACATAATGCAACTTAGTATGAGCCAAAAAGGAGTTGCAAGGTGAGAAACGTGGCTCTGACAACTCAGGACATATTAAAACACTAACCTTTGTGAAAAAAAAAAAACAATGAAATAAGATGGTGGGTACAGGCTTAGTTAGGAACATGAAAATCTCTTCTTAGCTCCTCCCATGGAAAGGAAACATAAAACACTCCATGCCAGAGCCTGGGCGAGAGTCTTCCCCCCCTTTTGCAGGGAGATACAATTACATTGCTGTGCTGCTGCACAGCAATGCAAGCTGCCACTTAAAGCCATCTTGCACTAAAAAAATAAGGCAAAGACCCAAAAGGTGGGAATTGGAACACTATGGAAAGGTAAAATGTACTTTATGTCCATATTTCTTAATCAAAACACTAGACCACGCAAGTGGAATTTTTTTCCCCTTGGAATGCTCTCCTGCAATGGTCAATCTTCATAATTACCTAACGGCCACAGCACAAGCTGCCTCATCCAGAGGCTGAACCAAACCTGAAGGGCAGGTTGGCACTGCTATTTATTCCACACACAAGGAAACAGGGAGAGGTTAAAGAGTTTGCTGCTAAGGTCACAGTGCCACTTACGGCAGAAACATCCATTATAAAAGTTAATCTCTTCTAAGAAATTAAGCAGCTTCCTGCCTCGGTTCCCCCTGCCCTGCTACCTGTTATCTCCTCATGCTACTGAACCCTTCCCATCACCTACCACCGCATTTCAGCACAGCGACAGCCCACGTGAAAGCCTCTGGGATCACTTATTAGCATTTATCTGCCAGAAGAAACACGAGACCAACAGAGATTCTCCCCCCCAAGAACCAGATGCACTTGCATACAATTTATGCACTACAATACATGTAAATAAAGTCAATTAAGTAATTAGAGGAATTCGGTGCAAATCTTTTTACTTTCTCTAAAGAATCCCAAGTAATTAATATGATTAGGAAACAGTACCTCAAAACTGAAAAGCACACAAATTATCATCCTTTGATGTAGCTACGTTATCCCAGCTCAAAGCACTGCTACCATCACTAAGGTGCTAGGAAGCAGTACTCAAAATTCTGCTGTGAAAAAAAGAGCGCACCTAAAAATAATTAGTATCTCTAGACTTGCTTTAACTTGAATTTCATATAAGAAGCCTATAATTTAGGGGGGAAAGCCCCAAAGAACAGTGCCAATATGGCAGCAGGAAACTGCAGACTAACAGCCAAGCAGCCTTTGTTCCTTTGCTGCTCTATTCAAAGGAATTAAAACTACTACACAAGCAATCTGCTCACAGCACAAGCCTACCTTCCCCAGTAGATTCTGCTCCAAGTAAGAGCAAACCATCTGAAGAAATCCTTCAGACAGATCTAGAAATAGTGTGCATCTGCCATAGCATTTCTGTACAACTCAGGCACACTTTGGTCAAAAGCAAACTGGCACTAGAAGCAAGCTTAAGAAACGACAGCAAAGAAATGGGGAAAAAAACCCCCTTACTTTTAAGGGTAAATGATATGGCAACTGACTGAACAGAGACCACATACTGTCCCAGCACAGTTGTTTGTAATAATTACAGCAGATGACAAGGATTGTAGCACAGCAGATTGTAACTTTTATTCTATAAATTAGCTTTCAGCTCAGGATTGCATTTGCTGATCATACACCAGCTTTACTACATCAATTTGAAGAAGATACTAACAACATATAGACTTGATTTACATTTTTATGAGCTGTAAACTTCTGAGCTCTTTCCACTGTGGGCTCTCACAAGTACCAATGTAGTGTGTAGCCCCACGACATCCTGTATGACCAACAGCCTTCCAATGAAATATTTCAAAGAATGCACACTGCAAAGTGATGTATAGCAGCACTCTGGGGCAGCCAGCATTCCTCCTGACACTACAGAACAACACTGCAGATGGAGTTACACAATCTTAACCAGATCTCCCTCTGTGCTGCTGCTGAAAAGGGCAATTCCTGCTCTTCCACCTCAACCATGTGCTCCTGCTGCCCCGTGCCAAGAATAAGGTTCATGCTGCTGCACAGCCAGAAAGAGCAAAGAATGGATCAGCAGAAAGTTGACGCTACGGTTTGTACACTCTCCTCAACCATGCTGACTGCACAGTGCCTGCACACATCCGTGCTGCTGGAACCATCATCACCCCTTTGGCATCATTGATTTCTGCTGGGTTTAATGCTACCTCAACAGGCACCTACAACTAGAAACTACAAGAATCCTGACAGCTACTTAATGACTAATGCAGAAATCAACACACTCCAGCATGTATCTTGGGCTGCATCCCCAGAGTGTAAGCAGCAGGTTGAGGGAGGGGATTCTCCCCCTCTTCTGCGCTCTGGGGAGACCCCTCCTGCAGTCCTGATCCAGCACAAGAGGGACATGGAGCTGCTGGAGCCAGTCCAGAGGAGGCCCTGGAGCTGCTGCGAGGGCTGGAGCAGCTCTGCTCTGGAGCCAGCCTGAGAGAGCTGGGCTGGGGCAGCTGGAGAAGAGAAGGCTCCTGAAGGTCAGACCTTAGAGCAGCTCCAGTGCCTAAAGGGGCTCCAGGAAACCTGGAGAGGGGCTTTGGACAAGGGAGGGAGGGACAGGCCAAGGGGAATGGCTTGAACCTGCCAGAGGGGAGATGGAGATGAGCTCTGAGGCAGAAGTTCTTCCCTGGGAGGGTGCTGAGGCGCTTGTGGCTGCCCCATCCCTGGCAGTGTTCAAGGCCAGGTTGGACACAGGGGCTTGGAGCAACCTGCTCTAGTGGAAGGTGTCCCTGCCCGTGACAGGAGGTTGGAACTGGATGAGCTTTAAGGTCCTTTCCAATCAAAACCACTCTGTGATTCTTTGTTTCTATGTATACAAGCCCAGCATTTAAGAATCTCTCACCTATCACACGCTTCCAGCTTTTGTTAGCAAATATTAATAATTCAAACTCATCCTTCCCATTCTGTAACATGAATTATCTTCCACTGTCACTAAGTATCTTGAGAACCTGCATGTACTAACGCTTAAATAAGAGAAAGCACCTCACCTCCAGCCCTTTCATCTGAAGAAAGGTCCCATTTGTCCTGACCTTCCTCAAACAAAGACAGTAAAGGTTACAGCTGAAGGGTACACAGTGTACATTTTGCTCCTCTTTCAGAGGGTACTTTACACAAAAGTACCATTCTGAGACAACCTTGACTTGCACATCGCTCTTTCAGATAGATTAAAGTAACCAAATAACTCATTTTCAGAAACACACTCACCTCGCTTGGGTTTGGGGAAGCTCTCATGGAGCCGAAAGACCACGCGTTCCACAAAGTGCTGGATGTCACACTGCTCCGGGCCACGGACAAACACCATCCAGTCATGAGTGAAGCCCTCAGTGGTGGGCTTCTTCCGCAGTTGGGCTCGGTGCCCCAGCTCCAGTTTTACTTGAACCGTGCACTGGTTTAGAACAGAGGTAAACCATAAGCAAAATGAAACAGTTTACATGTTATATGCATAATGCTGAGCCCCACCAACATCACCGCAGGGGAGGAATACAACAGCCTTCATGGAGAGATTAGTCTCATACTCAAAACTACAGGGCTGTCAACAGAAAAGGTATCATAAAAATAGCTCCTAGCACCATTTCGTACCTATTTTCTTCCCAATATTAGCATTGCAGGGAAAACAGCTTTAGAAGAGGGATAGGTTTATCTGCCTCACTTATTGAAATTGTCAGCTAAGTCCTAATTGCAGAATCTTTATTTCTAGAAAGTGTCAGAGACAGAACTTGATGTTCACAGCTTATAGAATTCACAGCACTGACAGAAAATTAATGTTAAACCAGGAAAAATTAGATCATAAATTGGTGGTTTAAGATATTCTCTAGAACATGTAATCCATTAGAATAAAACTATGATGCTCCTTCTAGTCTTTTAAATGTATTTTATTAAAGCATTCTCAAAGACCAAGTTACCATGCAGCATGTCTGCACGCTACCCAGCACTAAAATGACCTAATTCTGATTTGCACTCCCAAATCCTCCTCTAATCATTGAATAACAGAGAAGGTGTATTCAGTGTCTCACTCAAAGCACAAGAATCACATTAAATGTCTTAAAACCCAGATTAAATTAATTGTGAAGATCCCTGTATTACTGCAGACTGCACAGCCAGAAGAAAGCAAACAGATTAAATACATGTAACAGAGGAAAGACAAACGTGATTCAGACACAAGTTAAAGCAAGCAAATCTTAGGGCAGGATTTGTGGAGACAGGGAATAACACTCAAGGTCTCCAAACACTTATGAATATGTTGTACAAACTAAACCAGCAGCACAGCAATCAAACTAAACTCAGCAAAATCCAGCTTCAGCAACGGGAAGCTTATAAAAAAAACAGGGCAGTTTTTAGTCCTTCCCCCCACCCCCTTCTTCACCTAAGACTTGAAAATAAGTGTCTTGGGTTTTCCAGGACTTCTAATTACCACTGGGAGAGACATTATTTGTCATTACCTACATTACTGGTGGACACGGAGCCAAGCCAAGGGCATGATGTTAGACAATGCAGAGGGAAAGACAAAGCTTCCCGAGCTCCACACAAATGTTTAGGATAAGTATTACCCTCATTTTCCCATTGAGGAACTGCAACAAGGAGTATGGGTACAATTAATGCTCAAAAATTCTTTCGCACCTCCAACCTGACACTGGCTGGAAACGTGATTTTTCAGAGCATGGTTAATACCTTCTGAAAAAGCGCCTCAATCGCCGTATTCTTTCCTTTGTAAAAAGATCACACAGGAGGTCTACAGACTACCAGGCATCAAAGCTCGACCTCCCAAATTGCAGTCCAGTTCTAATTTCAACTATAAGCCTGAACACGCTCTTTCAGGCGGTTATATTTATAGCAAAATACCTTCAGCTGCCATCCAACACATCAATTCTAAGTCTCAGGGACAAGCTCGTCTAATTAATTGCTTCAGTGGTATTACCATCACATTTCTTTAGGTTACCTTCCTCTGCAAGTTCCCTTGGAAGGCCATTTTTTCCCATTCCGTGCTTTAGAGCTTATCTACACTGGCTCCATCTCACCTATAAATGAAGGTACGAGGCCGTCTGTTCTGTCATGGTGTATTAAGGAATGAGAAATGAAGCAAGGTGCGTTTCCCTCCAAGCAAGGCAATCTCTTCCCTGGTGGAAGAGCATTATGTGGAGACAGCCTGCCTAAATCCTAAGCTCACGGAGGAGGGGGCTTTCAGGCCTGTTTTATCTGGGATACTTCCCACAGCGTTCACACAAGTGTTCACATAACGGAGCCAGGCTGTTCTGCAGCTTCACGTTATCGATTCCATAATTACCCTTTAAATCCTGCTACCGTTGCCAGTTACTACCCCTCTCCAGAGAAGTGCAAATGACTGTCAGGCTACAAAATCTGCCTTTCTAGCTGAAACGCCTGAGAAATTTTAGCTGAGAAACAGATGGGACTGTGTGGAAGGGAACAAAATTAAAGATAAAAGAGAAGTGTTTAACTGAGAGTGAAAGTTGTACTTGCCACACTCCTCACACATCGGTCCCATTAACCATCGCTATGAATTAAGCCAGAAGTTGAAACACATTTGAAAATAAGATCTCTTAACATAACAAACACCCAAAGCTGCTCCGCTGAAAATGGAGGTTTTCTTTTCCAAGCGTGTCTCTCAACAAAGGGAAATCAGGCTCCTATTCAAACAATTTGTAATAATACAAAGGCGTCTGCTCCTCAACTTTGCAACAAACACTCGGAAGGCTGCGCCGGTTTTTTGTTTGATGTGCTAATTGCCTGAAAGCCGTAACCAGCTCCCCCTCGCCCTGCGGAGGGGCTGATGCCGCGGCCGCCGGGGCTCCCCTCCCGCGCCCCGCTCGCAGGTAACCTGCTCCCGCACACAAAAGGACCGGAGCCCGCCCGCTCGGCATCACCTCAGGTAAACTTCCA